ACATCCGTGGTTGAGACACTGATCTTATCCAGACACGGGCCATAGCTTGCTTATAGTTTCCCTGGACTGCAAAGGGGAACTTATGTCTGGGACCTTTCACCCACATAGGATGGGAGGGAAAATACCCTCAGACTCAGCAGATGCATCATTATATTAAAAAGTCCCAAAATAACTGGTTCAGGCTGAACTGAGTAATCAGGACACAGGATGTGATAAATGACCACAAATGCCCATGGTAACAAATTGACACACATGATAATAAGTTGAGAGCAATGATATATTAACCTATAGGAAAAGGACAGTTTAACACTAGAAACATCCCCTATTGAATACGTATCAAACATGTCAGTGTCACGTAGTGTAGAAGTAGGACCCAGCCTAGGGGCAATAGGGAGAAGATGATATTGTCCTTGGATGATGGGCCCCTGGTGATGGGGAAGGTGAAGGTAATGAGAGAGATGATGGGCTAACACCTAAGATTGCTCTTGAAGGAATGATGTAAGTATATGGTATGGAAATATGGATGTACATTTGTGTCTTATGAAACTGGGGTGTTTGTGACTGTGCTAATTGTATTAATAAACTATAAATATACAAGAGTTTCTATAGTGTGAGTGTTGTAACTGTGCTCATCAGGGTTCCCAACTGTAGAATAATTGAATACGGGGCCTGATCCTGGGACAAAGAATCTGTCAACTCTAAAGGTAATACGGGGCCTGATCCTGGGACAAAGAACCTGTCAGCACTGACGGTAGTAATTAGAAATTAAAATGTAATCTTAGATCAGGCAAAATTTCTTTAATTGATTAAATATAAATGATCAGGATAGTATTCAAAATCTACAGTGGAAACACAACAGTGAGGAAGTTAAGGCAGCATTCCCCCAGTTATTTAGTATGGGCAGTAATTTACTGAACTAACGAAGGCTTGGAATGCTCAGCTAAGGACCTTCCTAGTCAGATTTTGAAAATGTATACAGTAGTCCATTTCCATAAGCAAAAATTGCATTTGCCCTGTAATGGGGCCGAATTTATCTCCCTGAATTTAACCATTTATATAAGTTGTACACAGATTGATCATTTTATCATGTTGTAGTGTTTACATAATTATAATTGTAAGTGAGCACTTACTGAGTTGATGGCTTAGGAGAGAAATGTGTGATATCCTTTTGCAGGTAATAAAATGGAAAATCCTATTTGAAATTGCAGAATAAGCCTCTGAGTGATGTATGATCTTCACAGGAGCATTGGTCAGAGGGTTACTAGTAATCACAGTGCTGGCCTGCTTCCCTAGTGGCCCGTGCCTTAAAACTGAATAGCGAACAGTGTGAATGTGAGTCTGAGCCAGCCAGCATAGATTCTATCTTATTAGGTCCTCTTTGTCACACTGCTTAATCCTGCTGCCTGATCCTTGTTAGAATACCAGTGCTGCTGGGTCCTTTATTAAAGGAGATGGGTGTGAGGCTCCTCACTAGAAGCACTGAAGCGTAAGGCAGTTAGGGCAATTGCTGCCTGACTGACAGAGGGGTGAAATGCTTCCTGCATTATTACCTAAAAACAGAGCATACCTCAGACAGCTGACAGATGAGCTTTGCTGAGGCAATGGTAACTTGTTGATAGGCCAGTATGAGACAAGTGTCATCTTCTCACACAGTATAATGGTCTGGCTTTACGCTAATTATGATAACCTTTTTTCACAGAGAGAGCTGCATTAGGGATTAAATATAATGCAGAAGAGCATGGCGAGCTTTAACTGAGCCAGCCAAAAGACAGCTTGCTATTCCATACATACATACATATTCATTCTGTATGTACAAATAGTTTAAATTTGAAAAATAAGCACATATTTACTCCATATATAGAAGTAACAGCTTGGTTAGGCAAATCTTTCAGACTTGCCTCTTTAATTTTAAGCTACATAGTTTGGTAACACACAAAAATGCTATGGGGAGGGAGGGGTCACTCCATCTACAATAGAGTATTTTGTCAGCTGTTTTTGTATACCCTGGTCATGAAATCCATAGTGTAATTATAATTTTAAATGTATGTGTGAACAGTTAATTTAAAGATCCTTTTATGCCCCAGAATAGCTAGTGTCATCTAGAACAGTGGTTCCCAACCTTTTTTTATACTGTGGACCGGCAAACCTATTTGCAAACTTTTGGCAGTCCAGCAATGTTTTATTTACGTAATTAATAAACTATAAATATACAAGAGTTTCTATAGTGTGAGTGTTGTAACTGTGCTCATCAGGGTTCCCAACTGTAGAATAATTGAATACGGGGCCTGATCCTGGGACAAAGAACCTGTCAGCACTGACGGTAGTAATTAGAAATTAAAATGTAATCTTAGATCAGGCAAAATTTCTTTAATTGATTAAATATAAATGATCAGGATAGTATTCAAAATCTACAGTGGAAACACAACAGTGAGGAAGTTAAGGCAGCATTCCCCCAGTTATTTAGTATGGGCAGTAATTTACTGAACTAACGAAGGCTTGGAATGCTCAGCTAAGGACCTTCCTAGTCAGATTTTGAAAATGTATACAGTAGTCCATTTCCATAAGCAAAAATTGCATTTGCCCTGTAATGGGGCCGAATTTATCTCCCTGAATTTAACCATTTATATAAGTTGTACACAGATTGATCATTTTATCATGTTGTAGTGTTTACATAATTATAATTGTAAGTGAGCACTTACTGAGTTGATGGCTTAGGAGAGAAATGTGTGATATCCTTTTGCAGGTAATAAAATGGAAAATCCTATTTGAAATTGCAGAATAAGCCTCTGAGTGATGTATGATCTTCACAGGAGCATTGGTCAGAGGGTTACTAGTAATCACAGTGCTGGCCTGCTTCCCTAGTGGCCCGTGCCTTAAAACTGAATAGCGAACAGTGTGAATGTGAGTCTGAGCCAGCCAGCATAGATTCTATCTTATTAGGTCCTCTTTGTCACACTGCTTAATCCTGCTGCCTGATCCTTGTTAGAATACCAGTGCTGCTGGGTCCTTTATTAAAGGAGATGGGTGTGAGGCTCCTCACTAGAAGCACTGAAGCGTAAGGCAGTTAGGGCAATTGCTGCCTGACTGACAGAGGGGTGAAATGCTTCCTGCATTATTACCTAAAAACAGAGCATACCTCAGACAGCTGACAGATGAGCTTTGCTGAGGCAATGGTAACTTGTTGATAGGCCAGTATGAGACAAGTGTCATCTTCTCACACAGTATAATGGTCTGGCTTTACGCTAATTATGATAACCTTTTTTCACAGAGAGAGCTGCATTAGGGATTAAATATAATGCAGAAGAGCATGGCGAGCTTTAACTGAGCCAGCCAAAAGACAGCTTGCTATTCCATACATACATACATATTCATTCTGTATGTACAAATAGTTTAAATTTGAAAAATAAGCACATATTTACTCCATATATAGAAGTAACAGCTTGGTTAGGCAAATCTTTCAGACTTGCCTCTTTAATTTTAAGCTACATAGTTTGGTAACACACAAAAATGCTATGGGGAGGGAGGGGTCACTCCATCTACAATAGAGTATTTTGTCAGCTGTTTTTGTATACCCTGGTCATGAAATCCATAGTGTAATTATAATTTTAAATGTATGTGTGAACAGTTAATTTAAAGATCCTTTTATGCCCCAGAATAGCTAGTGTCATCTAGAACAGTGGTTCCCAACCTTTTTTTATACTGTGGACCGGCAAACCTATTTGCAAACTTTTGGCAGTCCAGCAATGTTTTATTTACGTATTTGCATGTTCATTATGCAAATGAATATGTGAATATGCACGTGAAAACGTTACTTGTCCGCCAAAAGCCCCGGCCCCGAGAGCTGCTGCATATAACCAGCTTCAGCTACATGGCAGGCAGTTGCCACAGATGAAGTCAGCTGATCACAAGGTCTCTGGGGGTCCCCTAAGCCCCCCAGTGCTAGCCCTAACCTCTAGAGCACTACCCTCCAGCACCAGCCACTGACCCTAGAGTTCCCTGCACCACCCCTCACAGTGCCAGCCCCCCACCAGCCTGCTGTTTCCAGAGCATTGCTGCACCCAGCCCTCCCAGAGATGACCCCAATGCCAGCCCCCGGTTCCCAAAGCCCATCAGTGCCAGCCCTGCCCCTTTAGTACCTCCACTATTCGCCCCATCTTCAGTGCCCCCCAGCATCAGCCCCTTAGAGCCTCGGTATTAGTTTTGTCCCCAGAGACCCTCAATGTTAGCTTTGTCCCCTGAGTCCCCAGTGCCTGCCCCTACCCCCTTCACATAGCCCTGTATTCCCTCCAATTTGCCCGCTGAGCACTGCTGCCTGGGTTTTAGCTGCGCTAAGACTGCCATGTTGGGCTCCGTGTAGCCCTCTGCCACATAGCGAGCTGTTTGTCTATATCCGGAGGAGACCCCACCCCTGCCTACTGCTGGTTGGCTGAGAGGCAGAGCAGGATATACCTCTACCAACAGCTGTGGCAGGAGGGGAGGCACTGGGCAGTGTACCCTGGCCCTGGGTTGTGGACTGGCAGTTGGGAACTCTTGATCTAGAAAATGAAGTAAAAAATTGGGAATCCAAAACCTCAAATTCTAAACCCACACCTGTTGTACTAGTGATAAATGTGTGAAATTGATCCCTTGTGTAGAAGCCAGCTCAGGGCCTATATGTCATTAAATTCCATTTAAGACTTATTTTGATGTCTTAACGTGCAACTTGTTGAAACCTAGTAGAATTACATTGAAAATTCATTAGGCCAAATTCATCCTGGTTGTGAGTACTGTGGTACTCCACACCAATGGAGTAGATAGGGTGGAATTTAGCTCTACATCCATATTTCATAGTATGGCAGGAGATAATATGCCCACATTTTCCTCATATTAAACCTGTAATTATTATAATTTGCATAGATTGTAGTGAGACTCTTTCAAAACATGAAAATTCTATACTGTAAGTAATTTGTCTAGGATAAGAGATTTCCTTTTCACGTTCATTTTTGTTTAATCCCTTCCAGGTAACTTGGATTTGACTGGGCAAAAGCAAGTCTTCAAAGCAGAGAATAATCCCTGGGTTACCCCCATAGCAGATCAGTTTCAGCTGGGAGTGTCTCATGTTTTTGAATATATTCGTTCGGAAACATATAAGTAGTAAGTATTCATCTTTATTGTATTACGTTATGGCTTTTCTGTGGAGTATTAGACAGAGTCCTTGCGGTTTGTGTACCAAGTATGGAAACCAAGAAAACATATTTTTTTGCAATGCTAATTAATAAATAACCTGTTAAGGTAAGTGCATGGAATAAAAATGTATATTAAAAAGTCATTACTCCATAACTTTCAAAGAAAGTCCAGTACTGGTTTTTAGCACAGTTTCACAACCTATACAACAACTTGATTTGAATGAAAAATATGCAATTGTATACATGTTTCACTCTAAATTGCTAATTTTTATTTAGGAAAATGACCCAAAAGGTAAACAAGTATGGCTTAGCCATATTAGAAAAACACTGTACATTATCCATATGACACTGACCCTGCTTTTGGTGGTCAATTTATAAACATAATTGAAGGAAACATAAAAGTCTTACAAGAGCAGGTATTGGAAAGTCATATGAGGAGTAATAATTCTAGGGATATGCAAGAGAGGTTTACAAATTAAAACAGGCATTGGCTGCAAATAGTTTCACCTGGTGGTAGTGGTCACATATTGATATTAGGTGTAAAGGGAATGGATTTGAATGATAAACGTTTTTGCTTAGGAAAGACTTTTTCTGAGTCAGTGGGTTGAAAGATGTTCTTCTCATTGAAAACTTTTACATGTTTCAAGTCCACAATTACTTTAGAACAATAAGCAGGGGAATTACGTCAAGCTTTAAAACTGACATTTTTAGAAATATAAATGCAGCAAAAACTGCAGACTTTTTATTAACATTGATATTTTATACCAGAAATGGAAGTTGAAGGAAGCTATATAACTTGTGGTTCATTTTTTCCCATTAAAAATATGTAAATACGTGAAGGCCTCTCTTTTATCAGCAACTGATGAAAGCAATCCACAAGAAAGTGAAGTAATACAGCTGATGATGAAGGGTATACCATGTATAGGTCTGACAAGTACAGCATCTGCATGGAATTTTATAAATGATCCCGCAGTGACTTCTAAGGACTCATGTTGAACTGTCACTTACAAAATTTTAGCTGAATAGGACCACAGATGCAAGTGTGTTTATAAAATCCTGTGTGCCAACAGAGTGGTCTCCATGCTGTACTTGGTAATATTTTTCAGTCTCTTGGTGGTAGTTATATATACTTCTGTTCAATGAGTAACATAAATAAGGAATTCTTAATGCAATACTAATAACATTCATGGATGTTTGGGGGACTATTTTGGGGTTCCAAGTACTTCATTTAAGTATCTCGTTAAAGCTTTCATCTATTTACTGTACCATGAGACGTTAAGTGGAGGGGAGTTCCATTCTGAATTATGTGCAGAAGATTTTTGTCAGTTACTGTTATGGAGTTGCAATAAAGGGAGAATTTAGAGAAACAGTTATATTAGAATTATTTGTGTAAGACATTAAACTGTTCCTGCACTGGTCTGAAACCCTTCCTAGATAATACAGAAATAAACAGGGGAAAAAAAGTTCCTTTTAAACTTTCAGTATACAAATAATTTTGAATCGTGTTTTGAAAATATAACTACAACTTTGCTAGAATTCCTGAAATATCTGCTGGGTTTTTTTTTTCCTTCCCATCATTTTTCCTGCTTCCTTTAATACACTGTGATGTAAGAATCATTTAGGTACGACCTGCACCAGACACATTTATCTGTTTGCTTTTGTTTTTGTGTGGTGTAATTTGTAAAAAGTGGCACAGTCAGTCTTTACTGGTCAAATGGTATGAGGTATCCAAAAGCAAACTATGAACATAAATGATGCAAGAATTAATTTCTGCCTGATGAGATTTGTCTTTTCTGTCTAATCATAGGTTTTTGCTTCTCCTCCTCCAATCTTTTTCCCTTTCACAGCATATCTCAAGGTACTACACCTTTTTTCTCATTAAGCAAATCACCAGGCTGAGAAGTGGGTATAGTAATTTCCTCCGTAAGATAACTGTAACCTTATGCAAAATTGAACTCTTTGATTCTTGGATCATTCAACCAAGAGAGAACTTGAAAAATTACTTCACAGTGTTTGATCGATCCAGACAGCTTAACTTCTACACTGATACAAAGTATCATTGTTAAATGGGTGATTAGCTACAAAAGGAGTTCCTCTGTTTAGGTAATTCATAATTTTGAGGAAGAAGAAACTGTGTATTAGCGGTCTGAAATCTGTATGGGTCTAAGAATCTGGCATTTTCTGGCCCCTGTTCTGTGTGAGTCTTCGCTGGGTGGATTCTCATCTCCCAGTCCACTAGCCGTCTTTTACATATAATTGCACCAGTAGCAACAAGCCATCTCATAAGGGCTAAGGAGAGGGTAGTATAGGGTGGGAAGGGAGAGTGTGGAGGGTGGAGTCTTTCAGGGAAGTGGCAGCACAAGGGTGGAGACTGGAGATAGGGAGATGAAAGGGTCTCAAGGACAAGGGATGGTGTGGAGGGAAGTGGCTAGAGGAGGGGTATTGCATCGCATGCTGATCCTGGGGGCTCGCAAGCAAGGCACACAGCATCAACAGTTCATGTTGCATCACAGTGAAGTGCTGGGGCCCTCCAAAGTCCAATCCCCGGGGTCGGGGTAGGTGCTGCTGCCCAGAAGCTGGTGGCTCAGGCCTGGGCTTGGGAGCATGACCAATGCTGCTGAACTAGGCCATAGTGGGAACACTGCTGGACAGGAAGCAGCATGGTGAGTAGATACTGGACTGCCTCAGTTCCAAACTGCTGTCCAGTCACTGGCTGCTGGCCCCTATCTGCAGCTGATTCACTGTCTTCAGAAATGGATATCTGCAGATTTTCAGGCTCTGCTGAAGAATGTATGTGACAATGGTTACAATGTCTATCTGCACACCTACCTGTCTGCACACTTTCAATACTAGTGTCAACATATCTAGGCACCAAATACAAAATCAAGAATCATATTCGCCTTGTCCCAACAGGACTCTCTGTTGGCCACCCTGGCTCATCTGAGCTGCTCTTTCTTAGTAGGGTTTTTCATCTCCTTTAATTTTCTGACCTGGCTTCATTTTTCATGAAGGGTAGTACTTCAGCTCTCATTATTTAGGGAAGACTTGTGCTAACAGGTGAGTAATATGTCATGCCCTAGTCAATTTCTATCAAATGCAGTGAGCCAGGATGGAAATAGGGGTGCTAAGCCAAGCCTACAGTGGCGTAAGGGGCCTAAAGAAAAAGGACCAGGAGAATGAACGTTTTTGAAAGTAGTAGTAGAATGGCTGAATTTTGGCATTGATTCTGTTCTGTAGCTGCAATTAAACTGCCATGAAGTGGTTCCGTGTGAGTACTTGAGAAGTAGATGAAAAACTTTTTCTAAGCTATGATGGGTAATGGCAGTCTCATTGCTTTGATGGGTAGTGGCAGTCGCATTGTTTTGAAAGATTTAACTAAATGTTTTATTTTTTTTATTCATGTATCCAGTCAATGTTCAAAGTGACCTTTGTGTTGTAAGCACGTTCAGAGGATTTTATATGTCTAGAATAGTGACAAAGAGATGATGGATTGCATGATTTAGTGCTTAAAATATACCCTGGCAAGTACAGACAGTTATAAATGTTTGAAACAAAACGGTGAATGAAGTTCTTATGAAGAAATAAAAGTTTCTGATACAACTCAATAGTAGATTAAGATAATTAGTTACTTGATGATGAAGAGGAGGTAAGGTCCAGATAAACAGCAAGTGGAGGATGGGGATGGAGTTAGTCACTAGCATTCTTCATGTAGTTTCTTCAGGATGCTGTTCTTCGAGTACATTTTGGGCATTAATCATGATCTGTTGATCATTTCATATATGGAAATTGCTCTTTATCCATTGATATTCCCTTCAGAAAGGGGAATGATTTTGCTGTTGTCATTGTAATGTCTGTTAAAGTCATTGCGTGATGGCATAATCTCAGTTGTTACTGCTCAATTTGCTAGAGCTGACTGCTGAGAATAGTATTCGAAGTGCTAGCATTTTTCAACTGTTGTTGAGCTAACCAGTTGACTTTTAACATTTGCTTTAATGGTAGCTGTTGCCATTGTTTGATCTCTGAAGCGCAAAAAAGGAGAAATATGATAGAACTGACGCCTTTTAAGTTTTTAGAAGGTAGGGTTTTTTTCCCCATGAACCAGTCAACTTGGAGTCAAGAACTTTGACAAGATACTTTGTGAAGGAGAATGACCACTTTTGTGGTGGGAACATAGGAAGTGTGACGGGGCAAGCTATTTTAAAAATGGTTCCATTAAGTTAACACAGAAAGAGGATTCACAAATGTCATGCTGAGACTATATTACTTAGAGGCATTTGGAACATAGGCATCCCTGTGCAGACTGCTTCTTGCTCAGTCCTATGTTCTAAAACCTAATTTCTAATAGTAATAACATTCAAAATGTTCCACGTTAAAGCAGTTCTGCACCCAAAGAGAGCCTCCTTTCTAGAGGCCTTTAGAAAGAACCACTTTTGTGGTGTCTCAGTTACCTTGTAACTGCAACACATCCCAGCTGGACATACTTCATTAAATAAAATGTAATGGCTTGTATTAAGCAATAATGTTTCACTAAAATATTTTCAGCAGCAAGAAAGGAAGCCAACAAGATATTCAAAGTAATGAACTAAATAAAATATTATCTTTCATCTGATTCCATTTTTAAATTTGTTTAACCACATGCTTGGCACAGTGCTAGACTCAGTGTCTGTGCCTCAAAGAGTTTACAATATAAAAGATGGATCATGCATGGAAATCCACAATAGGATAAGAACATAACAATATTAATGGCGTTTAATAGGAATTATACTTATGAAATTAGAGACCAAAGAAACTCTGATAAGTAAAAAATGTAATTCACATAGTCATATTCTTAATAGATTTAGTATAATAGTTACTACTATGGCATTTCATGAGAAATTTGACATAGATACAAATGGCTGTTAGGTGTGTGTTTCTTAGGCAAGCACAGATGTAGTAGTGAGCCAGTAGGGTGTACCAGTAAGAAGTGGC